GTTACTGGTACAATCAAATGTAAGAACCAAAGCTGAGTTCATAAATGCAATATAAAATAATAGGGCATTTATATTAATATTCATGTATTGAACTCAGAGAATGGGTAACTTGCTATTCATCATTTTAAAACATGTTTATAGAATACAAATACATTGGTGTTTGTTTTTTTTTAGTGCTGATGAAAATGAATGGTACTTGGGGACCAAGTCTGCCGATTAAAGTGTTATGATACATTACCATGCTTGCACAGAAATGAGCACAGATGGTGGATCTATTACTTCTCTAGCAATAATTTTTTTTATTTATTATATTTTTTTTCCCCAGAATTCATATTTGAGCAACACTTGCCCAAGTTGGTCTACCTCTGCGGGTATCCTTAAAACCTTTTTTTTCATTACTTGCACATTAGATGTAAAAAAAACAAAAAGTGATTAATGTTGTATTAAAACTTTATAATGAATGAAGTCTCTCAAACCAAGAGTCTGAGATTTTTATATTTTTCCTTTCACTAAACAGAAACATATTTTGCATGTAAATGAAAGTCTACAGGGATGAAGTTTTGTGTATCATGCTCAAATTCCCAACAGAATATTTTGTTCTGACAGATCGTTCAGTCCACATTAGAATGTGTGAAGATGTTTTATTTATAATATTTGTCAATTAAACACAATTATAAACGTGGAAAATTAAACAGCAGTATATAAGTAAAGTTTTTTTTTTTTTTTTCCTGCAAAGAACATGCTGACTTCAATAAATTTTATTTTGCTGTAAGAATTAATAAAACAATACTTCATAAGGCTTTGTCAATGCCTTATTATACACTTGAAGAAAGAAAAAGGGTGTTCATCCTGATTTGTGAGCCCGTAATTATGAAAGACTCAAAGTCAAATGATGGGTTTTGAAGTCAACTGCTCAAATTTGCATCACTTTGAAAGGAGGGACAATTTAATATATGTTAGATTTTCCAATATCAGGAATAAAATATAACCAGATAGTTTCATTTACTTCAGTATGTTGAGTGTATTCACATTTGGGTGTTTGGTACTGAGACCTCCATCTTGAAAAACACTGTTCAGCATTTATGCTGTGATCTGATAACAAAGATTGTATTGGGGAAAGGCTTGCTTGCTTCCAGCTTCCAAAATAGGATTTTATTCTTCTGTTCCAAACAGATAAGTTGGTGTTTTTGTTTTTTCTTTTTTTTTTTTTTTTTTTTTTTTGGTAATTTCGTCTTTTTCCTTTCCATATGTGAAACTTTATTAGATGTGTTCCTGGATAAAAATTGGCATCCAGAACCTTGAAGATTAACTTCGAGATCAAATTCTCCCTGCATACAAAAATAATTAAAAAAAAGAAACAAAATCTCTTGAATGATTGCAAATATTTCAAGGTTTAAATAATCCAGCACTTCATATGAGGATTTCTGGAGATACAGAGAAGTAGTTCCTGTGAGAGTCAAGCTGGTAATAGGGTACAACATTTAGTAGACCCTTTGAAATATGCAGAAGTTGAATCCAATGCTTTCTCTGTGATTCTTGTGAATGTAATTTTATGTGTTATCTGTGGACTCCTGGGTCTTTAACAGACAAAAATGTCAGGAGGATGGGATGGAATGTATTAGTTGGTGCAGATCAGGGTTTGTGCTGTTTTCAGGGCAACTGTTTCATTTGCAAACATTTTACTCCAGGCAGTGCTCTGTTCTACTTAGGAACATAGTTGTGGAGGAAGAGACTGCAGGCAGTGGGAAACAGAGAAAAATTACAAATTCGCTTCTTTCAGAGATGGAATGGATTGCAACAGCCATGGGTGAGAGAAAAGCCAAGAACTAAAAAGAAAACAGAAGGGTGCTAAACAGTTTAGAGAATGTAATATCAAATAATATGGAGGCTGTTAATCTCAGTACTTAATGATCTGCCTGTATAATGCTAATACACTTAAAAATGTACTATTATCAAGCCTTAGAGTGCTGCTTGTCACTACATAATGCACTTGTTATCTTTGCTTCAACTTCTTACCCTTCCCCATTCTCAGCTGCAAAAGCAAACCCTACCTCTGAGCAGTCAGCAAAGATATAGCTTGAACAATTAATGTAAGTAGATTCTTTGACAGGCTAGTGACTGAATGGATTCCTTCTTTACAGGAGGAAAGGTAGCCTGGTAGTTCTTGTATAAAATCCTTACCAAGCTCAATTTCTTTACAAAGTCATCAGTGCAGGCACAAGAATTGAGGACAGGGATATTTCCAGGCTAGAGCATGCCCACTTGTACTACATATGAGTATGAACATCTGGACTTTTTTTTGCTGTGTTAGTTTAGTAGAGGGGCTGCAGATTTTCTTTACAGCCCTATACAGATCTTTACTGTGTCACTAAATGGGTATAAAAAGCTGTCTGCTATAAACCAAAATACTTTGCTGCGAAGAATATCAGCCATTCACATAATCGTATTCAGCATTGCTATGAATGTATATTTTTTAAACTTCTTTCAATTTCCATGTTCTAATGAACTGCATTAACTTCATTATGACTTGTCCTGATTGTGCAATATTATCATCTATTCCAGGTAATAGAATAGCTAGAAAATCAGTGATGGGCTCAGTAAGGGTTTTAGTAACAGGCACATTTTTTTTTTAATATTTACTTTTAGCTGATACAGTGTGCCCTAAATACAACTGACAATATATTTGCTCTAATGAAGAATGAATAATGCTAGAATCTTTAACTTGTGTCTAATCCTAGGTAATTGTTGCTACAGTAGCATGATACATAATAGAATTTAAAATTTGTATTATATTTACTAGCATTGTGGCTCTGGACAGCCTGGTCTGGTGGTTGGTGACCCTGCACATAGCAGGGGTGCTGAAACTCAATGATCATTGTGGTCCTTTTCAACCCAGCTCATTCTACGATTCTATGATTCTATGAAATAGAGAGAACACTGTTCCTCATTAGCATGTACAGAGCTGTATTTAGGCTTAGAATTTTGGTACTTTTTATGGGAAACCAAGTGCTTTAAAGGATTTCAACAGTCAAAGACTGCTGGATATTTGTCCGTTAAAAGTCTGGAAAAAAATTGCAGTGCTTCAGATTTAGTTCATTTTCCAAGTATTTGAAGAAACCCTGCCTGAGGTACTGTGCCCAGCCTTTGGTCTCCCAACATAATAGAATGCAGAGTGTCTGGAAACCCTGATTTAGTGGTTGGCAACCCTGCCCATGGTAGGTGGTTGAAACTCAATGACTTTAAGGTCTCTTCCAACCAAACCCATTCTATGATCCTATGATTCTGTGAACGTGAATTCTAAAACATATCTTCTTGTAATATCTGTACAAAGGCAAATTGTGCTATCAGATCTATGGAAAATTTAGTCAATAGAGTTATTTTATATCTAAGAATGTAGCCACTGTCATTTTAGGAATGGTACTTGTGTCCTTGTATACTTCTTTAAGAACGTGCTGAATCTCACTTACTTAAGGTGATATTTAAGCAAACATCAAAGACAAAATATTGTTGCTATGTGGCAACTTTGCTTTAATGAACAGCATTCATTATTTAACATTTTCATAAATACAGTTAAAGGAGGAAAACAAGTTCATACTTTTAAAGGGCTTTCTTTTTCTTTCTTTCTCCACACTTTTCCCCCTTTCCTCTCTTTGTAAGTTTCATTCACCTTTCATTCTCTTCCCATATTCTTCCTGTGTGCCAATTTCCATCAACTGTTATAGTTGATGATCATAGTCCTCTTCATCCTTTTGGTAATTCCTTTTCCCAGTTCCTCCTGCAAGAGATATCCGTATTAAAACCAATGATGAACATTAAATTTCTCTCCTTGAGTATTTTTCACATACAATGGCCCAAGGGTGAAAAGAGTCCTTGCCCCTCAGACTTCTACTTTGACCTTTCTGCAAACTGAGGTAGCAGGCTAATTTTCCTATGATTGCTTCATATATGTAGCATTTTTTCTGTGAAGCTAAGAGGACTTGCAGCAATTTTCATAAAATTCATATTTTGCAGAATTTGAATATGCTATCTTGCCTATGCTCATCTGAAGATCTGATAGGCAAGAATTAGGCACTTCTGTTCTCTGCTCCTAATAGCGTTCCTTTCTTTCTTTTTATCAGCGTAACAGCTGGCAAAATAGTTTTAAGACAGAGATATATAAAGCTAATTTTTTGTAAAGTATGCAGACAAAACATAACATATGGAGGATATTTGCATAATGCACAGTATCTATGATAAGTTAACAATTCAGTTTTTTCTTGCATAACTTCAGTATTACATAAAAAATAGGAAGCTGAAGAATTGCATCTTCATAAGCCAAAGAATTTTGCTAAATGGTTATTTTTAGTATTGGCATTTTGAGTTTTGCTATATTAGCCTGTTAGAACCACTGTTCTACTTACTACATTGATACATACTTAAATAAACATTTATCTGTTTTCCATGGCTTATTTTGTGCATATTCATCCACTAAACAAATTTCTGCCTTCTGTGTACTTACACCAGTTATGTAATGCCAAATAATTTGTGCATAATTTGGCTATTGTCCTGCAATATGTATTCAAGCTGCTTGTGCATTCACAGAAACACTATGAAACTTCAGATATAGTTTCAAACATACAGTGTATATAGAATATGGAGTGTTGCTTTTTTCTTTCCAAAACCTGAAATGTTATGCATTTAGGCAATCACTGTGCAGTTTGTATTTAACAAAAATAAAATGGAGATAAAAAGTATGCAAAGAGAAATGTTTCTTCCTACAAAATGTAGATAACACTTTTCTCGTTAAAGTTTGCAGCAACATTAAAACAATAACAAATAACACAACTTTGTGGGATAAAATGATTATGTTATATTTCTTTTCTATTAGAAATATACGCACAAAATTAATGCATCTCATTAAAGTGTAATGTTGGTGCCATGAGAATTGAGTTAATATGAACTAGAAAATGAGTGAGAGCAGAATAAGTTACATCTTTGTGTGTGTTTCTATATTCAAATAGCTATACTCATCGTGTGGTTGGCAGTGGAATCAAAGCTCAGTCTGGGAATCCAGAAGTAAGAGTGAAAGGAACAGATCCTGTAATAAATCAAATTATTGACAAGCTGAAACATGTTATTCAGGTAAGTTACTTCTATCTTTATATGTAGTATAGAACTAAAAACAATCTAGTGGTGAACATATGAATTTACTATACTTTATAGGGTGATTGTTAATTCAAGTCATTGCTCCATGTACAGCAACACATACACACACACACACAAGAAAACAAAAACAAACAAACAAAAAACCACCATATCCTATCCTGTTTAATCTTTCTTACTTAACTTATTAAAAGTGATGTAGTGAAAAAGTTTGCTTATGGTAGATGAGTGTAGGGTGTAAGAGTGGCAGCTGGGCCATATGCAGCTGTGAGTACCAGTTCAGCATTGTATTAAGGCTGCAGAAGAACAAAAGTATAACTTAGAGATATTAACTGAGTGCGTATATTTTAAAAAAATTACAAGGTAATTTCCATCGTCTCTCTTTTCTAAATCAAAATCTTAACCATTGTTGCTGCGAAGTTTATTGTTTAAGAATCAGATAGAAATGCTAGAAATTTTAAATAATAACTTGCCTACTAAAGAAGTTGGTGTTCACTACCTGATGCACATATAAGTGAGTTACTAAATTTAAGGCTTATAAAGCACTGAATTCCAACATGGTGCAGTAGTATTGTAATACATTAAAAACACTGCATGTGTGGTTTGTTGTACTCATTAATATCTATATACATGGAGAGCTGTAACTATAAGACAAAGTATCTGACTGTGTTAAAAGCAAAAAAATTTTAGCTGGCAACTCTGCACTACAGTTAGAAAATGTTTTTTTCTACTATGATCTGAGAACTCATTGGTACAAAGTGCTCTACTGGCATCTTTTGTCATTGTCCTGTCCAGCACAACAACCTCTCTGCATTGAGGAAAAAGAGGGGTTAAGTAGGGGAGGCATGCAAACTTGGCAGACTTCCTTCTCCATTCTCCTTCTCTACCTCATTTCCCAAGAATGAAAATTTTCTATTTCTAAAAAATAAAAATAAAAGTAAACACTGTTTAATAATAACAAAGGAGTAAAATAAGAAATGAAAAAAAAAAAAAAACCAACAAAAAATATTTTCCATCAGTAGTTATATTCTGGGAGAAGTGGCATTCAAATTCCTTTCCTTATGTTGGGAATATAATCATTTATTTATTTATATTAGAACTCTAACCACTATTCCTTCCTCCTAGAAAGAAATACTCCTTCTAGCCCTCCAGCTTTAGCATGCATGTCTCTACTTCTTTATTAAAATAGTGACAAAATGGTGAGAAAATGAATATAATTTTGCCTTAAAATACATGCTGTGGCTTAATTAAGAACTGAAAGTTATTCAGAAAGAATAACATTGTAAATCTTACTGGGTAAATCTCAAGGTCTTTCATCTGTCAGGTATGCCCGCTCTTTCTTCTTTGATATTAAATCTGCACAGTATAGTTTATTGTGTTGTTTTCCTCTAGAGACCAGGACCTGTGTTGCTCCCTCCTTGGGTAAGGATCTAAAAGAATGGAATAGAACAATTCCATTATAAGGCATTTCATTTTGAGAGCTTATTTGCCCTTTTCCCCAAAGGCTGGATGGGATCTTGGAAAGAAAGACTTACAGTCTATATACTGTGAGTCCAGCTATCCTGCAAATACATTATCTTTCTATGTGATAGTTTCCTTTCTTGTAGCTCTGAGTATAGAAATAGGGTCAGGGGATAAAAAGAGCAACAAATACCTTAGAGACCCAATATATACCTGTTTTTCCTCAGATAAAAAGGTTGAAGAAATTACAGAAAAAGTAATTCTTCACTAGCTTTTAGTGTCTGGAAAGGGAGGATAGCAAGGGTAAATTAGAGATTCAAATACAAAACCTCACCTCTGTGTCTTCTGTGATATGAAAAAGGATGAATCATACATTAAGCTTACAAAGAAAAGATTAAATAAGGGGAGCTTAATAGATTGTGGTGTCACTTCTCAGGCAAAAGTCCTCCTTCTATACACTTAATTCCTGCTGTCTATCCAAGCAGTAATACTGCATTACAACAGCTTAATTTGATAATTTAGTAAAATAAAATAAAATAAAATAAAAATCATATTTCTCTTGCATTTCATAACTAAGAATTCCTTCAGTCTGCAGATGTTTCTATACTCTAATTCAGCATTAAGGCTGCCAGCATGATATGTAATCTTCTATTTCTGTAGGCAACCATATATACTTTTATATAAATTTTTATATAAATTCCATGTTGCTGTAACCTTGCTTGCTAGTAAGTCCGATTTTGTTATCTAGTTGTGTTTCATATGGAGCATGAAATGTAGCAATTTTCTGTCTGTATTAGGAAATGGAAATGAGTAGCAATTCAGTTTTATATGACTTTTCACATCAGCCTTTGAATATTTCAAGGTGTGAGATATCAAAGCAGCACTGCTCTCTGTCTCATGATGCCATGGTAGGGTACCATCCCTCCTTCTAAATCACAGTAAGATGTCTGTGTACCAGCCTAAGTATAGCCTGATTTTATTCTATTTGTATACCCTGTCATAGTACCAAGGCCTTTAGGACTGAGACGTGCACTTGGTAAATATCAGCACCCAGAAAAGAATCAGAGGCTTTGCTTCTGGTACTTTTCATAATAAATATTGTGAAAGGCACAGTAATGCAGTGTAACCAGAGGTAACATATGACGTCTGTTTGCAGCAGGGATGGGATTCATTTCTGTAATCAGAATTTAGGTGTAGTTATAATCTGTGGAGCTTGGAGAGCTGTTCTTTTGGCCAAATCTGAGTTACTCTTAAGGATACAAATAGTAGGCCTTTAGCCTCACCGGTTATAAAAGGAGTTTGGGTACACTGCCAACAAGTTGGCGTCTACGCTTCAAACACCTGCAAATATTTCAAGGATTTCACCTTTGTGCTCTGTTTTTCAGGAGTTTAAACACACATACCAGAAATGTGTCATTTTCTAAGGAGAAATATTTAGCAGGTACACTGTATCTTTTTGTTTGCTTCATCCTTCTGCTTTTTCAAAGGGTATATTCCACCATAGGGTCGCCAAACAATAAACAAATCTGAAGTGTACTCAAAAATAAGGCTTTTTTGCTTTTAAAGGAGCCTGATCTGGGCCAAAAAACTTGCAATAAATTGACTGAGGTCGTAACTACAGTTCAGACAGGAACTCAAAAATACAAATCAAAACAAATCTGATTTTATGATTACGCATTTATCTCTAATAGTAAAAAAAAATAAACATATATATACATGCACACACATATATAAAACAAACGAGAGGCTAGTTACTAGTTTGAAGAGGATAACCAGTTTGGCATTTAAAGTAGATAATTTAATGCAGATTTAGAAATCAGTCCAGGTCCTTTGCCCATCTGGAAAAGGAAGAGTAAGTACCTCTACTATGTAGAAGAAGAAAAACCTCATTGTTTTCTGAAACTTTCCTTTCTCTGTCATCAAAGCTAATGACACCTTTTCTCATCAGTTTCTCTATGTTTCCCTTCATACTTTCAAGGATCTCGACAGGAAGGGAAGAGGGAAATTGTGAAGGCTACTCTGAAAGTAGTGCTTCACCTTTTCTTATTTTGGCCACTTACATCAGAGGCAGATGGTAGTGGTGTGGCAGTAGTTCAGCCTTTCCACCAAGATTCATTCACATTTTGTTGCTGTGTGACAGGTGGCAGCAGAGGAGCAGTCTGACAAAATGGCATGTGACATGAAAGTGCACATGAAGCAAGGTGTGGAATTGAATTTCTCCATGCGGAGAAAAGGGAGGGAGGGCTCTTTGAGCGTGAGTCCAGTGAGCTCTCAGAAAATCAGACTGCACATTTGTCATGGTTTTATGTTTTTGTTTGTTTGTTTTTGAATTTTAGTATTCCACATCAAAACATCATGTAGTGTACGGGGCATTAAAGTGTCACTGCCCCAATCCCAGCTACCTATCCCTGTACATTACAGCAGTCACGGGATCTGGCCCTTCCGGGTTTGGGGGCGCTCTCTTGCTGCCTTGCAGTGGGTGCTGGAGGGTGCTTTCCTAGCCGTTCCAAGCTTTTCAGGTTTGAATCGGTCCCGGGAACTCTCTCTCTCTCTCTTATCTTGTCTGATTTATTAATCTCAATTTCAATTAAACTGTATATATTGGTTATTTTGTATTCCGATATTATAGTAAAATAAGTTTTCCTCCATAGATTGTTGCCGCTGTTTTTTTCCTCCCTTCCTTCCTTCCCATTTTTGTGGGACTGGGGTGGGGGGGAGGGCAGAGGCCTGTCGCCCCCTGTCGCGGACATAGATTGATCTGATCAACTCCGTGACAGATTTTGGCACCCAACGTGGGGCACGACTGCTTTCTAGCTTTTAGAACAAATCCCTTTTTCTCTCTGCTCTTAGAGAGCTTCGTTAGGGAGCATTATCAGTAGTTCAGGTTTCTGCGCTGGAAAACCTGACCTTGAAAGATTAGGCGTACTGCCAGTGTTCTGGGATATTTGTAAACTTTGAGCACTACTTCGTCTGAGTAGTGCCTTTTTTTCCTTTTTTTTCCCTCCTCTTGTTAGCTTCAATTCATTAACCCTTTTTTAGCAAGCACCAGCGATGAACCCACTCGTTATCGTGGGGGTGCTGGGTAAAGGATTTAAAGCAATGGTGTTAGTCACAACCTACTGGCCAATAATCCATCTCACACTTGTGTGTTTTGGAATTGCATCCGTATATAACTACCTAAGGGCACTGATGGAGACACCTATGTTTTACCTATTTGCAATGTGGTATGATTTGAACTTCGACATCTACATCCCAGAAGGAATGGCTAATTTCACAAACAGCTACATCCCAAATGGAATAGCTAATTTTACAAACAACATGATGTTCAGACCAGTCTCCGGGTTTTCTTCTCGGTTTGTCAAACGTTTTTTGAATCCTGAATTAATAGTCATGTTGGTGTGCGTGTGCATGTCATCAATTTTCCTGAATGTATTCTTATGCATTCGTAATAAGGGGAAGGAGTCTCCTCCAAAACTAGAGAATGATGACTGGCAGGGAATATGGAGAGGTTTAGGAAA